GTGCCACATAAATAAAACTGAAGTGAATTAAATGTTTAAACTGAAAGGCTTAGCGGATCATTTTTTGCCCTCTACTGTACACGTGCGCCTAATTTGTCTTTCTGTATAAAATGCTCAGTAAATAAAGTTCTCACTTCCTCTACTGCCTGCAGGTCCTCTTCCTCTGACACGTCAACCACCCCATGAGACGCTGCCTGAGAGCCACCGGCCAGTGAAGCCTTCCCCTCATCGACCTGAAAAGGGGCAAAAAGAAGAGAAGATGCAGAACGGAGCAAAATCCTCGCTGACCAGAGAGCAGCCAAACCTCGCTGCAGCTCTACCCACAGTGGACGCAGCTACAGTCGAGGCCTTCAGGCGCCTACCTTGTCTTGTTTGCTCTGCTTGCTGAATCCATATCGCCTGTAAAAAACCAAACAAACAACGAGTATGAGATATGACTTCAGATTGGAATAAAGCATGCTCTTCTTTTTACCCCAAACCCCCAAAATTCATTTACACCATGCGATAAAAAAGTATCAGCACAAGAAAGCGCATGAATCCATCAGGTGGACAAACGACATGGTTCCCCGATCTGCAGCGTCTGTTTAACTAAAAAACAAACTAAAATGCAGGAGTGCAGTGAAGCAGCACCACAGTCCATCATGCCAAAATAAGTGTGCGCTGTTTGCATTCTCTGACAAACATGTTGAACCACAACACAGGGTGCTGTAAGCAGATGCTGCCCCCCCCCAGCTTCACACAGTTACACAGTACTTACAGCAAGAGCTCTGACATTCTAGTACAGAGGCTAGTACAGGGATGGATGAGTGAAAAAACAAAACAATATATCAGACGAGACACTGAACATTGTCTAAGTTTAAATCTCAGGTTTTTAATTCATGACTCGTTTCCTATAAACTAAGAGCTACGCTGACACACTGAGAGGAATTAGACACAGAAGGTCGATTTGTGGCGCCCAGAGAAGGAACAGCCCAACGACTGATCCAGCACACGAAACCTCTGTATCTACGCATTTACTGACCACCTTATTAGGTACACCTTGGTGTAAATCTATGTGGTACAGACTGAACAGTGTAAGAATGTTTACATTATGTAACTTCTGCAGATTTGTGACTTTTAACCTCGTCACAATCAAAAACATTGGTGGCTGCCAGTCCTGCCCCTCAGCCTCGTAGGAGATGCACCATCAGTTTTAATCTCCTTGTTCTCAAAGTTGGGTGTTCACACTGGGGTGACGACAACAGCCCATCAGCCTTTACAGCTGAAGGGTAAAAAGGAAGCAGCCAGAGCTGCACAATGAAGCTAATTTTATTCTTAATCACCAGCTTGGCTTCCCACAGATGAACCAACACTGACAGTGTTCTGCCAATACAATGCAAAAGCAACATGTGCTAATCCACACTTGTCTGAATGAATCAGCGACAGATATACAACAGATCAGTGAAACAAAAGTCGGATGTCTGGCGATCTTTTTTCTTCCATTTTCAAGTTTGATGAGCTCTTCCTGAAAACAGCCTCAATTCGCTGCTCTTAGACAAACAGAAGGTGAGATGCAAAATCCCTTTGCTGAGACTGGGTCAGTTTTAAATGCATTAAATTTGTAATCGGGTGGTGTTTACTTAAAAAGAACAGTTTAACAGATATGTCCAATAAAGCAAGCAGCCTTATCCCTATTATTACTATCCTGCTTGGTCTATAAACATCAGAAAATATGAACAAAGCCCAGCGGAGAGAAAAGCAACAACAACAAAACGAGGGCACCAACAGCCTTATAAGAATAAAAGTTGATCTACAAATGGCTCCAGAGAGAAATGACAGAGAGATCTGACGTAACTCAGCGTTTTCTATTCACACAGAAATACAAATAAATGAGACAGACGTCTTACAGCCACTGTGGCAAAAGATGGATTAACAGGGAAAGTGATGCACATCCCGGATGTGAAAGCTCACCTTCCGTATTCCAGCAGAGTGGAGTGGACCCTGGACTCCTCATCCAGCAGCTCCTCTGCATTCCTGTGCCTCCTGTACTTCCTCTGTGGTTTGTACACTTCCTAGAAAAGAACGAGGCTCATTCAAAAACGCCTGACGGTTATCTAAACAACAGACCTACGATTTGACTTCATTTCCTTTTAGTGTATCGTTTGTATCAGTGCAGTCACTCACCAACACGTCCAGCACTGCCCTCACTGCTTTGTCTTTCCTCTGGACGAACTCTTGATCCTGTCACAGCACAGTGAACAGCACACACAGGACGTTTAATGACATGTGGCCGATCAACACTTAGACTAAACACGTTTCTATGACTGTGAGGGTTGTGATACAGCGGCCATTAAAACTTGAATACCGTGTTAGACTTCTGACACTGAACCCTTCTTCTGATGTTTACCATATTAATGCCTTTGTGTCTCATTACTTTCAATTAGAGTGTGTACAATCATCACTAAAAGCCCATAGATCTTCCTTCTTATCTTGACTACTCAATATTTTATTGCCTTATTTTTCTGTCCGACTTTGTATTTCATATATATCATGACTACTTTTTGTTTTCATAAACTCAGTCCAGTTAAAACAATCACACTTGAACGTAGGTCAAGATGTAATTAACCAGAGGACCTCCAGGTGGGCTTCTCTGGAAAATCTTCTGTAGTGTTACGCCTACCTGCCATTTATTATTTTTTGTTTGTTGAATACGAGAATGAGCCCAAGAAAGAGGAAGCAGGTGAGAGAAAGAGTAGAAAGGGGGAGGTTTGCTTTGGAGAGCAGAAACAAGAGAGGATATGTGTGTGAAGGAGAAGGAGACAGATGTCTAAATACTCATTAGAGTTAAAAACCTGGACTTGACCACCCAAAGAAATGGAAGCTGCACAGGAGAGACGAAGAAACTGCAAGCAGGGTGGAGAAGAGAGCGAGAAGGATAGCGGCAAGAGCCAATGGCACGAGACGGTAGTAAGACCTGTTGCCTGTGTGTACGGTATGGAGATAATGGCACTGAGCAGAGGTCATTAACAACTAAATTCTTTGTTTAAGTGATTTTATGACCTTTGTATGCAAAGATGTGTGGAGTAAAGCTTCATGCTGAGTGTCTGTTACCTCTGGAAGGCTGTGGGACTTCTGGAACTGAGAAATGGAGTAGGCTCTCACATAATCTCCCATCTCTTCCC